TTACCATGAGCAGTTTCAGTCAGTCTTTTATGTACAAATCTTAAAATTGATGTTTGTTTTATTTTTTCATAATTAGATACTGTTGAAGATGACAAAGAACTGTGAACTTTCTACACACTTTGACATTTTTAGTACCATATTCTAACTGGCAAATAATTTCTATTTTTTTGTAAACTGAGAGAAATTTTCTTTTCGTCATATACATCTTTCTCATAGAAGGGTTCATTTGTAACTAGAGTATATGGTAATTTCACAACTATAGTGATGATTAGGTAAATTAGCAAAGTATGGCCAGTAGCTAGTCAAGAAAGAGGGAGATGATCTCCAAAAAGAAAGTTAAGTGATAAATAGGCTTGTAATTGATGCAGATCATAAGTAACTCTTTCAGTTTTATCTATTCCAAGAATTTGGTATCGCATTTCTTACTATTTGAACAATAAGAATGCTCATATGTTTGCATAGCTACCAAAACTTTGCTCTTCATTTTAATCATGAGAAAATGTAGAGAAATATGCAAAAATTAAAATTGTTATGGCATTTTGCTCGTTATATCCATATTCGATATAACTGAGTTCAATCATAGTTTAGTTCAATTTAATTCATACCACCAAATCATAGTTTAGTTCAATTTAATTCATACCACCAAATCATATTCCTCCCAAGCTTTAGTTTCCTGCATCAAAGAGGGATGGGCCAGAAAAAGCCTTCAGACATTTCCCTCATTCTGATGTCCTTCAATTCCAGCTTATCCTCATTCTTTAAGTGAGTAATAGGATAAATAAAAAACTTAAAAAAGGCATAAATGGCTTGTGATTTGGTTTAGTTTGATAGATAACAGTATGCACCATTTGAGTGATCTGCCAAGGATGGAACCTTTCCAGAAGGACTTTCTAAGGAAAATTGGTCCCTATTTAGATGTTAGATACATGAACAAAAAAAACCAGCAATGCGATTGCTCAAGTTTCCTGGCAACATTTAAAAATTTGGTGGCACAATCTGTTATCATATTTTATTAAAAACATTTTATATTTTAAACTATTATAAAATGGCAAAAAGTTTAATTTTTAGGGTAGGAATGAGTTTGATAAAAAAATTATAAATGCTAATAATAGGTAAAATCATCTGACTCTACTGGAGATACACACAATCTCCATTATCTCTCCATCCTCTTGACCTTTAACCATCAAAATTTATTAGCATAAGTCCCCCAATAAACAAACTTCCATGCAAAATTTCAGAAATTTTTGACAAAAAGCACAGGAATTATCAAGCTTCAAAGAGGATGAACAAAATCGTGCCCCCAAACACATTAATATCCATATATACAGAAATTACCCCCAAATTTTTTTCATTTCTCAATGGTTCAAGGTGTCCTAGGTTCAAAAATATAAAAATCTTGGAGGGGGTCATTTTTTGACTAATCACCGTACTTTCCCTCTGTTATATATAGCAGCTGGAAAAGTAAAAATAGAAAACTCCACATGGTCAGCCTGTTGGTGAGATTCAGTAGTTTTATCCACTCAACCACTATCTTGTTTCTCTTGTTGAAGTTAGTACACTTGCAATATTGGTTGAGTCCAAGCTCTCTAACTGTCTTCAGTAGACTGTTTACCAGTGAAAGGCAATAGTGAAAAAAAAGGAAATAAGTGGTGTAATGAAATTGTTATAGTGAAGCAAAAATTACAGTAATTCTATTACCATGAAAGTGACAGAAAAGAAATGTTACACAAACATTTGTTATAAATTATAAATATGTTCATACAACTGAAAGGTTTTGTCATGGGTTCTTATAAAAGTTGGAGCAGGGAAAATCTACAAGTTCATTATTATGAAGTTTGCTGTAATGAGATTCCACTGTACTAATATGAAAATACTTAAGTTTTGAGCACATCCTAAATCCCTAAATTACATTATTATTTTTTCTACATGTCCATATTATTTTTATGTGCATCAATGTAATTTTAAAACAATAAATATAAATAAAAGTTAAATAGACAAATTAAGTGACTGATATTATTTAATTTTACCTTTGATGTTCACTATTTAAAAATTAGACTGTTATGCATAAAAAGAATGTGGATTTAAGGACTCTCCTAAATCCACATTCATAAATACACCAATGAACATGCAGTTCATTGGTGTATTTATGTAGAAGTTTCTGAATTTTCTAATAAATATATGCAGTATAAAATATGTTTTGCTGAACAAAAATATAATAATAAAGTAAAAATTACTAAATAAGATTATTGAGGAAATTTAATAAATATCACAAACACATAGATTATAAAAAAATCTACATGGTAAAATTCAGTAAAATTAAAACAACTTCCTCAATGAAACAAAAATATAATTGACATTGATTATTATTTATCCTTACTTATGTGTTCACCAATAATTATTGAAATTTTACATAAGAATCAAATAAAAATATTTATTACTAGATAACACTAATAGTCAGCTAGAATATATAAAAGGAAATAAATAAAATAATGCTGATTATTATTTTAAATTCTAAGCATTAATATATAATTGTATTATACTATTTGAATCTACTAATTCTTTTAAGATTATAGTTTTACAAAATATTTACTTTTCATATAAAAACAATATTTACCTTATCCATAACAAGAAATTGAATATCCACATTCTGTTTATATTCAAGGCTGAAAATTAAAATAATATTANGTTCAAATACTGAATTTTTCAAGTTAAAAATAGTTCAAGTACTAAGATACCACCGTCTTTTGTTTGTCACTTTTATGAATTATTACTTACCTATGGTTAAAAAAGGTTTAACAACGTTTATCTAAAAATGTTTAAATAAACTGTACTAAATATGACAATTAATCTATAAAAACAGAATACAGTGACAGTCTTAAATACTAATGTCTGAAAGCAACATCAACAATACCTGGTTGATAGTAAGGCTAGGACAAGAAAGAAAAAACCTGTACTATCAGTTTTCATTAAAGTGAACCTGACAAAAGGCACAAAATAAATTAAAAATTTCAATGTTGTAAAATCCATGCAAATTTGAGAGGACAAGCATGCTTATTGGCATAAAAAAATATCGAATAATGGAGTTTGCACTTAAAAATTGTGAAATTTTATATAGACAATTTCCCAAATTATCAAACCATGTTAGAATGAAACCAGAAACAGTGTTGTACAGGGGATATCCCCAATTTCTCACCATGTTGTGATCAAAAAAGGCCATAATCAAATACAAAACTTAAAATCCTTATTTCATTTTATGACATCGAAACAGATTTTAGATCTTAAAATTATTTCTATTTCTGTTCAATCATCTCACTTTAAATTTATAAATTATTTCTGCAATTACCTCACTTCAATATAAACATAAAATTATCAGTTTCAAGTTTCTAGAAGTAAAACCAAAAGTTAAATATTTACCCATTTCTGTAATTCAAAACCGTTTAGTAATCAGGGTTGAAAGGAAGGGAAGCTACGGAATTTTTCCCAGACCTAGAGAAAACTTAGGGATAAAATTAATGTTATATTGTTTTTGCTAACAGAAAATAAAATCTTTTAAATTGTTTCTCTTATTAATTTAATAATGAAACATTCTATGTACCGTATTTACTCGTGTATAAGACAATCTCACATATAGGATGAGATGTGACTTTAAAAATTAAAATAAAGAAAATTAGATATATTAACGCAATTCTAATTTTATTTCATTTAATCACAAATAAAATATTATCAAATGCACGTAAATGCACACACTGTCCTGCAAAAATTACTAGATTTTAAACTTTAAGGGGAAATCTTGTAAAATCAATAATATAATTTGTTAATGTAAAGCTGGACAATCGGGAACTTTTTGCCAATTCTTAACAGTCTAATCCACTCTCCGGCAATTATAATTATGAGTTTCACCAAATTTCAATTTCCAAATAATCATCCGTTTTCATGTGGGAATGGATTAAAACTTATATTGTGTTTCCGTGTGATTTTGGAATTTCATTTGTTTGTTTTGTTAAGTTACGGCAACGCAACAATTGGGTGATCTGCCTCAGGAGATGCCTTCTGGAAGGTCTTAAGGGTAACTGGCTCCTATTCGGGCATTACAGACATAGGCAAAACCATGACCAGACTCCCAGTGTTCAGGGAACAGAACTGCTTGGCGACCAGTAAGCCAGTTTTGGAATTTCAATTTGGAATTCAATTCAAAAGCTTTGCTTTTCCTATTGCTATTCATCTTTACTCCCAACAATACGTAAGAACAATTCAAACGACTCAGATAAAACAGTTTTGTTTTTAAACATCAGAGAGAGAGAGAGAGCATTCGGTAAAAAATGCGATGATGGGGTCAACAAAAATTATTGCAAAAACGCAAAGAATCTTTCGCTTGCGCATATAGGACGACCTAGGTTTTTGAAGCAGTGAAAAATGAATAAAAATCTCGTCCTATATGCAAGTAAATACGGTATTTCATTTGTTCAAAAAAGAAAACAAGCGGCAAGAGGCCCACTCTATCCAGATTCCATACAAGCTTTTAACAGCCCTGATAATTTAATGTTTTGATTAGTAAAACTATTTTTTATTTTTCTATTAGATTTATTTCTATAATAAGATTTAACTTGTGAGAGTAGTTAAATCTCAAATATGAAATTTGGGCAGTTTACTAGAACATTTTAGGATCTCGGATGTATTTTCGAAAGGGAAAATAAAGTGTCATCAGTTGCGATTACACCAAATATCTAACAAACATTAAAATTCTTATATAACATTTACTGTAGCTGCTATCCAATAAACAATAAACAATGATGCTATGAATTTCCACAACGTTAAACTACAAATCAACAGACTTATTTATCATATGCAATGTACTTTTTTTTTTCCTTCTTTTTATTTTGATTTTGATCTCGAACAGTTGAATTTACTATTAGAAATTAAGAGTTTAATAACGATAGATGCAACAAGCCGTAACTAATAAAATACGAACAATCACTTCAAAATAGAATTATAAATTATACCTCACTATTCTCGTGGGAGAAAGTATCAAAAAATAGCAATTCAGAATCATCATCCATCTTGGAAGATGATTTTAAAGATTCGGTAACCATTTCTAACTTTTCTTCAACAGTGCCGCCATTAATGAAAAGTTTCTCCGTTTGACGGTAGGTGCATGTTGCCAGATCTGAAGGTTAAAAAGTAGTGTGGTTGTGCTCCAAAAGTAGCGGATTTGAACTGTTTGTAGCCCAAACAATAAAAATGAATTATTTTGCAACTATGCACTTTTACTAATGAAATAAGTTTGTAATATATGTATATACATACACAGGGTATATCAGAATGACGTTTTAAAAATTCGGGGATTGTAGAGGATGAAATTTTGAACGTTTTGATATAAGGAACCTACAGCCGGAAATGAGATACGTATAAAGTTTCTACTGCACTTTGCACGTTCTATGAGGTCGGTATGCTGAATGAAACAGCAGAATACAGTATTTATGACAAGTTTTATTGACAAAACAGTAGAGTACAATCAAACTGTACATCGAATCAGTGGCTGCACTACTTTAGAGTAAATGTTCAGTGTGACGACCACCAACTTCGTTACATAATGTGCAACGACGAACCATGTTTTGTCCGACTCTCCGTAAGATGCCACGCTCCCCTCTGATGGTATTAAATGCTGTAAAGATGCGCTCCGTAAGCTTATGAACTGTTCCTACAGGTGTTGCGTACACAAGGGACTCACGTTGACTAGCTGTGTGTTTACATCACAACGCCAGTGGATGCAAGGGGTGACCTGAAGAACGACAAGCACTGAGTACACAACGTCCTGTACACAGGCTCAGTTAGACCACTGTAGTTGTGTGTTTACAGTCTTTCATCCGCAGCAATAACATGACGTCAATGGATGGAAGGGTAGCTACCAAAGTGAAGGGCGGTCAAGCACTTCCTACCGCTGTAGACACTTTAGTTCAAATTTCCGATTATAGGTTCCTTATACCAAAACGTTCAAAATTTCATCCTTTACAATCCCCCAAATTTTTAAAACGTCATTCTGATACACCCTGTATATGGACATTCGGTGTATCTGCATCAATTTTCTCTAAATCAAAGCGAGTCATTCGCAGGCGAAGCGATTCATTTTTTGAACTTAGAGACTTAGCGACTGCGGCTTTTCTTTTCAGTTTTAAGGCCATCCTTTTCCATTGTATCAAGAACTGTTGTATCAAAATTTAATAACTTTTGGATCACTTATTGGGAGAGAAAATTGGCAATTCCAACAGCATAATGCTTGTAGTAGACAATCCACAATTTCACAAGCAATGTCGCCTCCGTGCTTGTGAAGTTGTGGATTGTCTACTGGAGCGAACGACTGATGGAAAACGGAAGCAAAGTATCTTAATCTTTGTTAAACGTTGCAACTTTATTTATATACTTAAGTGTAATGAAATTAAATAAAACTTTATTACTTTTGTATAATACAATAAGTGTTTTGCGATTTTATATATGAAAATAAAAAAGTAGCGTATTTTTAAGATTTGTAGCCTGAAGATAATTATCACTAGCCCAAAAAGTAGCGTGTCGCCCAATTTGAAATTTTTGTAGCGAGGGCACTTAAAAAGTAGCCCAATCCGCTACTTGTAGCCCAATCTGGCATCACTGGGTAGGTGTCTCTTTTAATTAAAAAAGTTTATAATTTTCGAGTCAGAATTGTTTTATTTTTAAATATATTCTTCTTGTTTATTATTTAATGCATTGCATCTGAAATAATATCTAAAGAATGCTTTTATAAATTATCATATTACGAATGAGAGTCGCGGGCGTTACAACGTAACTCGAGTTGCTTTCCAAAATGATAAGGATTGCTCTAACTTTAAATAAGATTGCATCAATGGGATATGGCAATATAACACGTGGGCCATCTGCCAAGGGGAAATAACACCCGGGAGTACTTCCTTTGGAAAGCTAGCCCCTATTTAGATGTTAAACACGTGAAGACAACCCGGAAAATTCCATGTGACCAGCTCATCGGCCACGCGCGACCATTTCTCAGTGTTTAGTGGTTTTATTCTTTCCATCACTAGTGGGGCTTTGAATAATTATAGTTACGTCTCTACTGCAATGAACATCATCCAAGTAGTCATTTCCGATTTGGTGGTTCTTACATATGTTGTAGAATTTAAAAACCCAAGAAAAATCTATTTTGTTTCTATCGACGAAAAAACACTTTTATAGAGTGAAATGAAATCTAAAGTTGGAGAATAATTTATAACTTCATATAGAAATGCTTATCCAATTAGAATAGATAGCAGGAAAACGCCATCAGCCTAACGCTATTAAGCTGTCTTTTCTTTTTCATTTATGTGGTAGGATGGTCGAGTGGTCAAAGTGGCATCCTACCGCTATAATGGACTCGGGTTCAAGTCCGAACGTGGTTGAAAATCCTCAGAGTTTTTTTAAAATCGCCACTATTACAATCGTTTTAATCTAAATAAATGAGTCGCGTGTCTTACCCCATGTGCAATCTCACCTCACTTTTCCTTATTTATTTATAGGCCTTACGGGTAATTAAACATGTATTTTTGACGTTTAGAAAATTCTTTATGGAGCCAATTATCCGATAAATTATTCAAAATCCATAAATATGCTCTAATAATACCCAGAAATCACAGGGGGCTAAGCAGGTGAATAGGCAAGATGATATAATTGAGTACTGTAAGGTCTCGTTTTATGCGGTGGATACGTTCTACAGAAAAGCGCATATAAAAAATTCGCATAAAAAAAGACTTTACTTGCCTTGAAAAAGTAGGAATACGTTCCGTAATTTTCTAAAATCGCATAAAACCAAAACAACGAGTTAAAATTAACTTAAAACCGCATAAAAAGGTTTGCAGAAATTAAAAGAAATAGGCTGCTTAATAAATTACTTCGAATGTCTGAAAGAAATTCATATAAAATCTTAAAATAAACTTGTATTCAAACTTAATTCAGTTTATTTTATTGAAAAGTAATACAAGGGGAATCCCCGAATTGCAAAAGCTCACTCTAAAAACAAATCACTAACATCTGGATGTGAAGAGTTAATTAAATAATTAAAACTTTTTTAGTTCCTCGCCCGAGTTAACTCGGGCAGGATTCATAGCGTTACATAAAACACGGTCCTTAAAGCCGGTCCTTAAGGTCCACGGTCCTTTAAAATTTTTTTTTGAATTTTTGGAATGTTTTTTAAGTCTCCAAATTTTTAAAAAATATTTAAAAATATACGGCCAGCTAGTGTTCACCCTACTTTAAACCCTTTTCCTCCCGCGACGTCTATGAGAATGCCCCGGGAAATTCAACTCCAGCTGTGTTCAAGGTCATCCAGATGTGTAAACTCATGATTGATCATCCAGATGTGTAAACTCAAAATGACTCATCGGTGTTAAATTTCACAGAAGGGCGAGACAAAGGAAGTTAAACTTTGAAGCTTTTTCTTCAAAATTAACACATTTCTTTCGTTTTTTTTTCAGTTTTAAGTATTTTTTATGTTTACATTTACATCAAAAATTGCTAGGAACTAAAGCGATTAAGGCAGATCTAGCTGTCCTTTATGGATGTAAAGGACAGCTAGATCTACCTTATAATAAACTTTATATGTCAGTGGAACAAATGGAGTGAGCTTTGAGCGTTCCACGATTTTTGGAGACAGTCTATACGCGGGCTTCCTAAACAAGCCTATATGCATGTTTGTCCAAGAAATTTTTGGATGAAATACAAACCGCACAGCTTCAAAATCGCATAAAAATAATCCGCATAAAAAGAGACCTTACAGTAATTGCTTTTCGGCTAGAAAATGTCTCACAGTGAGTTCACTGTGACTTGGCGTTATGAATGATCCACTTGTCAGGCCACAGTTCGAGTCTTTTTCTTCGAACAGAATCTCGTAATCTCTGCAGTACTTCTGAATAGCGTTGTTGGTTGACTGTTTGTCCCTGTTCAATAAATTCTTGGTGGATTATTCTCTTGTGATCGAAGAAACACACCAGCGTGGTCTTAACCCTCTTAAACTGTGCGACATGCGTGCCATTTTAGGGCGCAATGAACTCTAGAATTTTCATTTCATGCTCTGACGTTTTGTTTCTGGGTCACACTATAACATTTCGGTAGCGCATTTGCGATTTTCACACAAAATTGAATATTAATCAATACGTTGCTCTAAATTTCAGTCACCCATTTTTATGCTAAAGAATACACCCAGATACTTTCCCGATAGCTAATTAACAAACTAGCTCTTTCAGCTTGAGATCTACTCACGTATTAATTAATTCAAACATGTTCAAACACGAATGCGCATGCCATTCCCATATAATTATGTCACGGATGACACTACGCACACGCAGCCTTCCGGGAATTAAATTGTCACACCTTATATATACTGTATATTGTAGAAAAGGTCAAAATTAAATTTATATGTTTTTGCGCTTTTGTCAAAAACTTCGTTTGATTAATATGGTAATAACTACAGTTGGAAGACCTTCAGCTTTTGAGTAGTCTGTCTTCCATAAGTGGAACTTCAAAGCCTGGTGTAAATTTGATCTTTTTGAGATTTGACTTGTCTTTTATTCTTTTCGCCATTTGGGCACTAAAATAGTTTTTGTTTTTTTTTTTTTTTTTTTTAAATCGGGCTCATCGTCAGTTCTGCTAGGCTCACAATGGTAGTGCCAGCTCTATGGTCCTTGCACTTGAATCACTCGTTGGTGCTCGTGATTGAAGAATTCGTGACTTCATCTTATCTGAGGTGGTTCAGCTCTGGCATTAATAATAATATATGTTAATAATATTATGTTATTATTAATATGTATGTTTGAAACACTCATAATAATATCGATAGACCTAATAGTCTAAGCTGGAATCACACAGTACATAAAGACACTGAAAACACCCTTAGGTACTTTTCCAGCAATTACTTTTTAATAAAACCAGCCAGCATTAATGACACCATGAAAGAGCTGGAGCGTGTAGAAAATTTGCAAACAGACACGGGTACAGTAGAAAACTTATTCGTAACATAGTACACAAGTTGGACAAAGATGGAACACGATCACATGTACAGGCAGGTAAACGCATAATTTTAGATTACGATAGTAAACTAAGATCCGTATATACACTAATTGCCAAATATGTGGGCGGTCGT